CCCCCTCTGCCATACATTATGAATGCAGCCTTATTCATTTTTTCTTACTTATGCATGACATCCGTTTCCTCATCTACCAGTTCTTCCTCCTGTATCACATTCTTGGATATTTGCAACGATTGATCTTGCTATATGTGCAGTGACTAAATTAATCTTGTCTTGTTTAAGTGTACCATATGGGTGTAGTTGGTTTGGTGTTTCTCAAGATATAATTTAAGGCTAGGCACTTGTTTCTCTTTGTCTTCTTCATGTCAAGCTACTTTAGGTGCACCATGTATTGAGCTGCCAGCCTTTCTTCGATAAGGATGATAACAGTAATGATAATGATGATTGTAGTAATAATGATGATGTTGAAAATGATTATGCAGACAAAAATGATGATGAGGATGATGATGATGATATTGATTATGATGATGATATCGATGATGCTGGTGATGATGATGATGATCACAATGATGAGGTTGTTGATGATGATGATGATGGTGATGACGATGATGATAATGACAATGCTGTAGTGATGATGATGATATCAGTGGTGAAGTTGTCTTTGATGTTGATCATGATGTTGAAGTTGGTGACGATGATTCAGATGACTCCAGTGACTGCTGTAAGAATGCGCACACGGGTACCTCTTTCTCAACCATTTGTATGACTAAATTATTGTTGAATTAGTATAGCTGCGGGGGGTTGGGGGGTACTCCCATATATGGACTATACAGGGATGATCCGCTGAACAGGGTATGGTTTTTCGAGCTTCTTGTCATAAACAGGGTATGCAATTTCACTGAAGTTCCGATTTCTTCCTGAGTTTCCTGTCGTATTCAGGGTTTCTACTTTCGTATTAACCGAAACTGGTTATTATGGTCTTAAAAAAACGATACGCAGGATGACATGATAATTGAAACAGGAACTCATTGCAATAAATTATATCTTTTGTCATAAACAGGGTCTACAAATTTGAGTTTTTATGTCATAAACAGGGTACCCCTTTCAAAATCCCAGCGGAACACCCCTTCCAAAATTCTGGCAAAGTACCCCCCCCCCCCCCCCGGGGTATATATAGCTATTGATTGATTGTACAAAGTAAATTTCAAGTTTACATAGGCATTAATAGCTATATAGCGGTATTGTTTAAGTTTTAAATTGGTGTTTTCTATCAAAAAAACATAACTGAAATACAATTCAGTATCAATTTTTGACTGAACTGAGATATATTATTTTTAAATACATATCTTAGAAGAAAAAACATGATTACCATTACTGATACTGATTACCATACCGATTACTACAGATCTCACCAAACTGTGGCAACATGTCAAAAATTTGTCTCGTTACCACACCCTAATTCGTCTACTGACACGCCTACTTTTATTACAGCAGTCGGCGCTCCATCTTTCATGTATTACATTGAATACCTCACTGGCAATGTGCTAGATCCTAGACAGTGACAAAAGTAGGCGTGTCAGTAGACAACTTTGGGCGTGGTAGCGAGACAAATTTTTGGCATGTCGCCACAGTTCAGTGAGATCCGTAGTACAATATAATATAAACATAATATTACATTTTACATTTGTAATACATCATATAACAAAAACATACATTTTTTTCTTATGGTACAAAATATACATTGTATGACATTTATACATTACACACTACATTTTAGGAACACTTTATTTTAAAAAGTTGTTATTGAGAAACCGAAATTTTCAGGAAAACATATGGTAGAAATGTTCTTTAATAAACTAGATTTTTAAAATTTATTTATTTATTAAACTTCCAACAATTAAACTGTTGCGGAGAACTAGACATTCCAGGTGAAGAATAAAATAATAATTCACTTTATCAATATTAAAATGAAGTTTGGTGCTATAGGTAAAATTAGCTACAGGTGGATATAAATTCACGACCCTCCCCAAAGTCAACTCCAAAATTCTTAGCCCTCCCCAAAAAGAGCTTGGAAAATCATGACCCTCCCCAAAAAATAGTGAACCCCCCGTTAAATAAAGACCAGTCCCTATGAAATTAATTATAAAATTGACCGCTAGTGATTTTTTTTCAAAATCTACTGGAACCCTTCACTATTTTGAATTACTCTCATATATCTAATACTATTATCATTTATTATTTGTACACCAGAAAAATGGAACACACTTGATACCTCACAGAAGGTCCTAACCCGTCTCGATGGGATTGCCACCTTATCGTGGTGAGGCGGTTTGCGTGTCCCAATGACCCCTAGAGCTATGCCGGCTGGAGTCATGTACTCCTGTTAGGGTCACCCATGCCGGACAGGTCAAAGGGTAGGCCAGACTAAGAGTGATCCCACAAGGCCCTATCAGTGCTAACCGAAGTTGTCCTACCAGGATGGGAATCATCGTCAGACAGTGCAAAAAGTTACCGATTAACCTGACAGAGTCTAACCTTGTTGCCATTTATCAGTGGGCTGTTCTCTTGCTGAAGGTTGTGGGTAAGGATATTAGGTGATGGCTTTCTGCAGATTGTATGGGAGTGCGCTGATGACGTAAATGACAGTCACTGTGAAGGTTAGTGTGAGTAGCAGTATAAATAATCATACCTTATACTATTCATGGGTGTGTACAACAGTGATAAGTTTACGGTTTAAGCACAGCAGCAAAACTATATCAACTAAAAAAAAACATAGCCAACTAAAGAAACAACAAATGGAAACGTTTAATACCTGGAGTTCAGCATTGGGGGACCCAAATTCAAAAGTCCATTTTGTTCGATCCCCTAAAACATCTAACTCAAAATAGAACAAGCTTAAAAATAGCATGGTGAAAATGTAAATTATCATATAAATTCTAAAATGCCACAATATGGAAAAATGTCATTACCTAAAATTTACAGTTACCACAACCTGAAAACAAACCTTAAAATCATATTGTAAAATCAAAAAAATCTTAAAGTGTTCTGCTTTAAACATTGTTTTATGACATCATAAAATGTATATTCAATGAGCCTTACTCATTGGACAACCATGTGCTCATGGAACATAGCCTCGCATTCTCCCATGTGATGAATATATTAATACTTAATTAATAAATTATACACCCAGTCCCTCAGCAGACTCCAACACCAGCAAAGTGTAGCAACACTTATCAACAGCAACAGGGGAAACTATACAGGTACATTTTTTAATAGGTACAGAGGCAAGAACCACAGCAACAGTAGCAACAACTAAATTTAAAACAGCAACAGCAACAACAACAGCAACAGGGGCAACTGACATCACGTTACAAAGACAAGAACAGCAGGAAAAGAAACAATGACAACAGCAACAGCGACAATAACAAAATGAAATCACTTTTTTGCTAAATTACATGTATAAATACATTTTACAATACTTATCACAATAAATTATCATTTAATAACAAAGTCAAGACTCGAGTCAAGTTGTTAGAGATGTACATAACGGTAAAATCATTACTTAATCCTACTTATGTTCGTAGTTTCTCTACTTTTAGATTAAAAGTTCTTGCGGCTTACTTCACTTTCTAGTTCCCTGTCTAATGGTATTTTGAACAGCTGAATAGAAGCCATGTTGGTTGATCTAACAAGAGAAGCTAATGAGGAATGCTTTGTTATCGTCAACCAACATGGCGGCTATGACGTAACATGCACCCCAAGAATAGCAGGATACCATTCAAACAGCACCATGTTGGTTGATCAAGCCAAGGGCACTAGGACACCGAATGTGGTTGGATTTCTATAGGTTTTTTTTTCAAGAATAGCAGGATGCCATTCAAACAGCCACCATGTTGGTTGATCTAACAAGAGAAGCTAATGAGGAATGCTTTGTTATCGTCAACCAACATGGCGGCTATGACGTAACATCCACCCCAAGTATAGCAGGATACCATTCAAACAGCCACCATGTTGGTTGATCAAACAAGAGAAGCTAATGAGGAAGGCTTTGTTATCGTCAACCAACATGGCTGCTATGATGTAACATGCACCCCAAGAATAGCAGGATACCATTCAAACAGCCACCATATTGGTTGATCAAACAAGAGAAGCTAATGAGGAATGCATTGTTATCGTCAACCAACATGGTGGCCATGATGTAACGTGCACTTAAATATACTCCCTACCCTGGACTTTTCAAATCCATTTTCAACTCAAACATTTGTACCCTGCTATTATTTTTGTCCGTCACAATGATTTTATCATCTGAGGTAACAACCACGGCTTCTGGTCCAGAGAATTCCCCTGGGGAGGTCCCCTCACGGCCAATCTTGGTCACAAACTCCCCGTCGAGTGAGAACATCTTCACGCAGTCGTTATTGAAGTCACACACGAGAATGTAGTCATCTTTGTAGACCGCTAGTCCTGATGGAGCTCCAAAGGGCTCTCCTTCTTTCTCTGCATTACCTAATGTTCGTAGAAACTGTCCCTCCTTATCAAAGATCTTCACCGAGTCATTGTCTGTGTCTGACACGATAAATAACCCTTTATGGAAAATCGCATAGTTCGGGTAATCAAGGACGTGTTCGCCTTTATGTCCAAATGTGAATATGAGGTCACCTTTTTGATCGAAAACTTGGATTCGGTTATTAGTCGTATCAGCGACAATGATCCGACCTCTCTTATCTACCGACACGCCATGTGGATCACGAAATTGTCCTCTCGCTTTACCGAGTTTCCCAAACTTGCGTTGTACGTGACCTTCAGGGGAAATAACTGTAATTCTATGTCTGCCTCGCTCTGCCACGACAATGTTACCAGATTTGTCTGTAGCTAAACCCGTCGGGCAGAGAAAATTAACTGTTCGTCCTGTGCCAGTTATGACGTGAGTCATATTACGAAGGAATTGTCCTTTTTTGTCGAAAACTTGCAGACGATCATTGTCGTAGTCTGCTACGAAGATGGTGCCATCAGACGAGACGGTTATCCCAACGGGTTCCCGGAATTGCCCATTGCCACTCCCCTCAACTCCAAATACCAATGATACATCGAAGGTTGGATTCTTTGGAAGAGGGACTTTGAGATTGTCATCTATCCTGCTATCCCCTCTCAGGGACTTCACACTTTCTCTCATGCTCAAAACGTCATCGTCATCATCATCATCATCTTCTTCTTCTAACTTATCATCACAAAAGTCAGCTTCAGACTCAAACTGACTAACCGCTTCCTTCTCAGGGTGGTTTCCATGGTCACCAGTTTCTGTAGCAACACCATTCATTTGAACAACGGTTGTCTTGACTTCTGATGTTCGTTGCTTCAAATTCGTCAAGCCATTCGGGAATTTTCTTGTCGATCTTGGGCTGTTTTTCTTGATCATTTCTTGTGCAATTTCAAGTCCGTAGTTTACATCATCCAAAGCAGACTCTAACGCACTCTTCTGGCTCTTCACATTTCTAGTGACGTTTAGAAGGTGGCCTTCAAGACATGACATCAAAATATCTTCCTGTTCAGATATCAATTCCTTCATTTTCAACGTCTTAGATTTGATTTCTATTCTTGCTTCTTCAATTGCCTTACTTTTCCTCTCAAGCCGAGAATCCAGATTTTGTAACTTCTCGTTAAGGACAACTTGTTTTTGCTCTGCGTAATCCAAGAGCTTTTTCAGTCTTTCCTGAGGTGTTTCCTCAGCTTCAAGATGTTCTTTGTAATAGACGAAGTCGTGGTCGCGATGATCAAGTATCGCACAGTCTCGACAAATTCTTATCTCACAAGTCTGACAATAAAACTTGGTTTCTTCCATATCATGTTTTTCACATTGGCCATTTGGCTTCGTAGTTTGACCATTCAATTCGTGGACGCTCATCTTAATAGAATCAATTGGGATTGAATTCTCAGCATAAACTAACCGTGGCAGATTTGAATCGCTTGCGAAGCACTTTCCCGGATAGTAACGCCGCTCGCCAGCCCTTTTGCTCTCTTTCATTTGAACAGGCACATTCAGAAGTCTGTCCTTTACATCGCCTTCAAAAAACGGTCGGGCAACACCACTAAGGTTGTTAGTATCTTGGCACAATTCGGTGATGACTCCTTCAGCATTATTTGAAGAGGGTTTTAGAGAACTTTCGTAATCTAAGCAACAACGTCTGTCCTTGCTCAAAACCGTTAAGCAGTCTTCACAGACGAAACGAGATGACACGAACACCTTCATGCTTTTAGCTTCTCGATGGCACGTGAAACATTTAACTCCTTCCATTCTTGACTCTTAAGTAAAACTCAATATTATTCACCCGTATGTATTGAATCGAATTTGATAATGAATTTACTAACCGTTGAGTCGGTTTTCAGTTGTTTATAGTTATAGCGGACGCTACAATCGAATATCGTCATGCGTCGCAGTTTCAAAAATCTAATTACGACATCCAATAACAATAAGGGTCAAACGAGGTTAACCAAAATAATATATGAAAATGGTGTTTAAGTCATCAACCTAAAATCCACAAGAAGATTAAGAGATTTGTTTGTTATTGGTCATCATCCGTGAACTATCGCATGACTTGCACGAAGCATATCAGCATGCCCAAACAACTATTAACCTCCAAAAATACCGAAACTCTAGCTTTCAGTAATGGACGTATGATCTATCCATCAATCAACTACTTCTTCTTATAAAATGTTAACTTCATCTAGAACAGAGTAAGTGTGTTTATGGCGAAAGAAAATAATTTTAAAACAAATATTAATAAACTTTAGGGGTTGAAACACTTCTACAAACTTATATACATTGTGGGACCTTCCAAAATACCGTAACTTGAGCTTAATTAGACATATAGTCCATCGATCAATCATCTCCCTCTTGTAATGAAATGTTGAATCATTCCAGAACAGAGTGTTTTTATGGCGAAAGAAATGAATTTTTCTTTACGTGCCACGACAGACATAAAGGATGATGTTGATGATCTAAAATTAATTTTAAAAGAATAAACTTTAGGGGTTGAAACATATCTACACACTTATCTAATCACTTGGGATCTACAGGTAAACTGTTATTTTCCAAAATAATGCAAAATTCGAATAATAATTGGCTAAAAGAAATGATATATATCAATTGTAATTAAATAGTCAAAGCAATACATTTTGTAAGACAAATACAGAATACTTTTCTTTACTTTGGCCTTCAATTTCGACTTCGCAATGCGCATTATAATTTCAGTAAGAGACGATATCTTTTTTTAAATTTTTAGGTCATGAGAGCATCCTTAAGAGATTGGATATCAATCATCGCCGATTGATTACAGAGAGCATTACGTGCCTACAATATGGTGGAAGAAATAGAAATTTTGGGAATATTCGTAGAAAGTTCTAGACTAGAAGGCCAAAAAGAGTACAAAGGAGGGTCGGTTAGGATATCTTTTCCTCATATATCACCTCCCCCCCCTTTTTTTCAATTCAAACTCTTCTTCATCTTTAAGGAGGCTGTGGGTAGTTTTGGTCTGGCACACCTAACCGCATTGAAACGGCTACAACTTCGTCCTGAATAACTCGATCTGCAAGCGCTTTTCACACAATGTCACGAAAGGATTAAAGGTTTCAAAAATGATAAATTAGTTTAAAGCGGTAAACGATTTCTATGTCACCATTGCGTCATAACGAAAAGGGCTCAGCAACGAAGCGGTGCAGTGCCAGCCGTAACAGCACGCGAAAAGGAATAACACGGAAGTCAAGCGTGAATAATCAACAAGTGAGCGAAAATAGTTGTGAGCGTACTTATTTTTGACTGCCTTAAAACCCTTCAATGCATATGAAAATAAAGGAGAATATTTGTAAAAGATACATCTTTGAGTGACTTCATTTAGAAAACAATCTTTCTACAATGTTTTGAATGCCGCTTTCATCGATATTTTCTATCGCTTTTGACAACGAATGGGGTCATTTAGCTTCATATCAAAAAATCCATAACATTAGAAAGAAAGTCACAATTTGATTCATACTCAATAAGGACAGTGTCTATATCCGTACCTATATTCTAGCTACTAAAAATATTGAATCCACTAAATTAAAGTCCTCATTTTGAGGGTATAAAGTTGACACGCTGGAAATAATAGTAAAAGTCCATGAAAATATTCACCGCGTAATATTTGGAAAACGCTCTCATACATTTTTTTCATATTGCAATATGTTAGGTGCCTTGATGAAAACTATCGACTGGTGCAAGTCGCTTTGAAAGTTTAGGTCTAGTTTTCGAGAAAATAAGCGGTAAACGATTTCTATGATGTCGCCATTACGTCATAACGAGAAGGCCGCTTTAAACTAATTTATCATTTTTGAAACCTTTAATCCTTTCCTGACATTGTGTGAAAAGCGCTTGCAGATCGAGTTATTCAAGACGATCAGTTGTAGCCGTTTCAATGCGGTTAGTTGTGCCAGACCAAAACTACCCACAGCCTCCTTAAACCTGTAAAGGGTAATGTGTTAGAAAGGGGTGCCATTTATACGAAATTACTACCATATCTTTGAAGAACTTAGGGACAGAACATTAAATAATTGAGGGGGGAGGAGTTGCGTAAATCCCCCATAAAGTATCGAGCAAGCACTTCACCTTCGAAAAAATATCGCGCAACCTCTCCTTTCAGAAAAGAAATGTCGAACAAAGACGAAAAATTTGCGTTCAGAGGTTGTTACAAAAAATAAATATCGTGCAACGCAACCCCCCCCCCCCCTCAAATATTTAATGGTCCATCTCTTCGAATCTTATTCTCCAGGGAATCATAAGTTGTATTAAATGGGTAAATATTGCAACGAGACGAATTAGGTCTATTATCGAAATTCTCTCGATTATACTTCGAATATGGAACGAAAATGGAGAACCTGGAGAAAACCCTTTGGATCAAGGAAGAGACGCAGAGGAGGACCCAGGGCTATCCCAAGTGCCTTTGGGAGATTATTATTGTTGTCTTTGGTTTCAACCCGTTTGTTATCTCACTCACGATGCATGATGGGATAACCCTCGATCCTCCTCTGGGAGAGAACTAACAAACTCTACTCACGTCACATGTAATGCCGAGTCCAGGAATGAAACCCGAGACCCTAGAGGTGAGAGGTGAGTGCACTACCGCTGAGCTACCCTTGAATCCCTTAGTGCAAAACAAAAAACAAAACAAAAAACAAACAAACAAAACAAAACAAAACAAAACAAAACAAACAATACAAAACAAAACGAAAACGAAAACACAAAAC